ATATCCTCCACCCACAAACACGTGACAAGTAGGAAAACAATGATGTCTAAATTGATACTATATTTAATTAATCTTTGTCATAGTTTCTTTTTATATGTAAACTAACATTTAAATAATAAATAAAAAAAATGGTTAATTTCCAGCCAGCCAATCAAAGCAGACGTGCTCTTCATCCATGGGATCCTCGGAGCAGCTTTTAAGACGTGGAGGCAGAAGGACCGCGATACTTCAGAGGAAGAGAAGGATGCAGAAGGAGAGGATAATTACACAGAGTGCTGGCCAAAGGTCCAAAATCAAATTTATTCCTTTAATAACCATTGGACCACTATTACATTTCTGTGAATGATTTTCCTTCTACAAAAACAAATGAAATGCTTAGATTTCGTCTTATTGGCTTTATAAGAGAACCATTAGTGTTTGGTTTGCAAAATGAACTATGAGGTTTACAATAAATCTTGCTTAATCTTTAGATAAATTATAATAATTATTATTATAATGTGTCCCCTTTTTTACTTACAGTCATGGTTGGCTGCTGATTGTCCAAATCTCAGAATTCTATCAGTGGAGTATGACAGTCACCTCAGTGATTGGATGGCCAAGTGTCCTGTTGAGAATCAGAGGTGAGGAATCTGTAGTTTCTCAATTTCAGGCTCTTTTTTCTTTTTTTTTTTTGCAGACATGTAGAGTGTAGAATATTGCCGGGCTCTCCAATTCTGGTGACAGTTGTTAAATTGTAAAGAAAACTGAGAGATAGCATTCACTTAAAAAAAAAAAACAAAAAAAACTTGTATCACCTAGTTATATATCATTGTGATGTTATGCTCATTTAATACAACACAATCAACCCTGAAATGTAAGCGATATTCCATTCTCATTTAAACTAAATGTTTTATTGTTTTATTTACAATTGAAACACTCTCCATCTCACTGCTGATTCGTTCCTTGCTTTGGTCTCTTCAGGAAGTCGTTGGCCTACAGAAGTCGAGAGCTCCTAAAGAAGTTAAAGCTTGCAGGAGTAGGAGAGAGGCCTGTGGTCTGGGTGGCCCACAGTATGGGAGGTATTTTGTCCGAGCTTTCCTTCCTGAAGTACTCCAGATTTGAATCCCTTGAATGCGACATGAAAAACAAATAGCTAACACTTTCCTGTGTCAGCATGACATTTTATATGGCTGATTATCATTTTCACTTTGTGTGTCTGTATCCCCTTGTGTTTGATTTCTCCATCAGGGTTGCTTGTGAAGAAAATGCTCCTGGATGCTGTAGATGACCCTGATATGCATGGACTGTTAAAGAACACAAAGGGCATTTTGTTCTATAGTGTTCCTCACCATGGCACCTTCATGGCAGAATACTCAGTCAATGTCAGATATCTCCTCTTCCCCTCTGTAGAAGTTAGAGAACTTTGTAAAGGTAAGCAAATGAAATCAACTCTGAGCTCTAACACTTGTTTCTTTTCAAATAAATAGTTCTATATCTACTGAGTAAATTATCCATTATAACATGTATTAAGATTCGCCAGCACTGCGTGACCTAAACGAGAACTTCCTGAACATGGCCAGAGAAAAGGAAATCAAGGTGCTGAGCTTCGCAGAGACGCTGCCGACAAACATCGGTCCCATGATCAAGATACTGGTGGTACCTACACAGTCAGCAAGTATGTCATAATGTGGAACATGGAAAATAAGAAATCTGTCATTTATAGCTTATATATGAATCTGCAAATAGACTGTTAAGTCACATCTTCAGCTCGTAACATTGAGCCTGCTGCGGTTTTGTTTCAGGTCTTGGCATCGGGGAGCTCATCAAGGTTGACGTAGATCATCTCAACATCTGTAAACCAGAGAAGAAGGACTCCTTTCTGTACAAGCGAAGTCTCCAGTTTATCCAGGAAGCACTGCAGAGTTACATCAGCCACTGATTGAATACTTGAACGTCATCGCACTAATATGACCTACTGTATACTTGAAAGGGTGGATAGCAGTCACTTTCCTGACACCAAACAGATTAGAAAAATAATTCTGTGTTACACATTTACAAAAACAACCGCTGATGTGATAGAAGTAAATGGACTTGAGCTTATATAGCGCTTTTCTAGTCTTCTGACTACTCAAAGCGCTTTTACACTGCATGTCACATCTACACATTCACACACTGATGGTAGTGATCGCTATGTAGAATCATCCATCAGAAGTAACTAATCCCATTCATACACCACCAACTGAAGCAGCGGGAGCAATTCAGGGTTATGTGTCTTGCCCAAGGACACATCGGACATGTCGCTCAGCTGGGGATCGAACCCTCGACCTTCCGGTTGAGAGGCAACGACTCAGCCACCCCAAAAGTAACAGTAAAATTAGGGGAATTAAATTAAATTTGTTTTACACATTGATTTCTGTGAAGATTTGTCACTTGTGATGAAAGAGACCAGAGTTCTTAGTTTGTTCTTCACAAGTCAGTAGTTTTAAAAATGATTTACAGTAAATTGTGAAGATCGGCGTCATCGTGGTCGTGCGAGCTTCACATGTGGTTGATAATGCTAATACTATATGTACTAACATCTATGGCATGTCATTGCCGCTCATGTTCCGCAGTGTTTTTGAAGAGAACAATGATTTTTTTTTTTTTAAATGTATATGTATTTATGTATTTTATTACATGTACAGTATGAAAGTCATTATGTCACTCACAACATATTCCTTTCCAAACCTTACCTCGAATGGACGTGTAAAAATATGTGTTCTGGACTCAGGTTGCTTTATTTATATTTTTGATCCTAATCCAGCAGTTGGACTCTTATGTATTTGTCGTCCAAATTGCCAATAGCAAAGCTAACATTTAATAATAATAAAAAAAAAAGACTTAAAGGTTTAATATGAATTGTCTACACACTGCAGTTTATTTTTTTTCTCAAAGCCCAAATGAGTAATTTATACTTTAATACATGAGACTATTTATTGTGTATTATACTGAGCAGTTAAGTCTTAAACACATGGTTTCCTCCTGCATGGTTTCTGATACAAACAGGTCAAAGTAAAGTAGGTTAATGAGCATGCGCAAATCTTGGGAAGAATACTTTTGACCCTTTGCGCATGCGCACACCGCACGACAACCCCTCAGCGCTAACTCTATGGTGCTATCACAGTTAGCGTATAAGGAAGAAACCAGAGGCATCAGGTTGGTGAAATTCTAACCAAACTACTTCTTTCAATGCCGTCTTGTCTTTTTACTCTTTCAGAAGTCTTGCTACTTTGAATTCCTCTGTTGTTGTTGTTGTTGTTATGTATGCTGTCTCTGAATTTAAGTTGGCGACAGCAAGCTAAACATGCTCATACTCAACTGTGTTTCTTTGCTAACTTCACAACAACAACATAAAAATTCTGCATCGAAATGGACGATATTTATATGAGCGGGGTGTTTTTTTTACTTCTTCTGTTTACAGTAAAGTCACACTACGCCTATTTGCTGCAGGTTTGAACAAAGACTTGAAACGCCGATTTCTCTGAACCTGCCAAAATGGTCAACGTACACAAAGGAGTTCTTGTTGAATGGTAAGGATCATTTTACTCACGTCTACCTACAAATCACTCTATTTCCATCAGGCATATTTGGGTAACAATCATCTAAACATTGCATGCAAGGTGACAACTTCTTGTGTCCTCTGCTCACCAGTGATCCTGCCATGAAACAGTTCCTCCTCTACCTGGATGAAAAAATGGCCCTGGGGAAGAAGTTCATCCTGAAGGACCTTGATGACACACACGTCTTTATCCTGGCAGAGGTGGTTCAGACCCTGCAGGAGAGAGTTGGCGAGTTAATGGACCAAAACTCATTTACCATCACGCAGAAGTAACACTCACCTCAATAAAAGAAACTATTTTTGAACTGCTGTAGTGAGGGTCTTGTATGAATATGGTTTGCAGGGTTTTAACTACAGACTACATCAAGCAATTGCTACATATTTGCTGCATTGATCATTTTGTGCAGTAGATAAGAAGGTATATGATTAACTTTAACTTTAACTTACACATACAATGAACATGGCTGTTAATAAGCGATAAGTAATGTCTCAAGATTTTGACGTCCATGCACAGTCGTGTCAGAAGCCTGTTCATGAATGTAAACGGTGGGTAATTTTAAAATAGGAGTACCACTCCCTGACATGTGCTTCTAATCATTTTGCCCCACATCATCTGACAAGATACTCCTTGTAACTGATTTCCTACCACATCCCTAAACGACTAACAGAACTCTTGAGTTCATCTTTGCCTAATACTATTTCTCCTAGCAGCAGCATGGAGCTCCTTTATCCTAAATGTTTTATTTCCAGCTCGTTTTATTTGCTTAAACATTCTCTAAACTTGTTTTCTTCTTTGATTCGATATTGTTGGAAAAGCTTGCGACCTAAAAGACGCGCCTAGACAGCTCAATAAAATTCAGTATTCCCTTTAAGTCCAGGATTTTTGTTTATTTCCCTCTTGCACATTGTTTTTGAAAAAGAATATGCAAAGCTTCCCCCCCCTGTTCTTTATTTTCTGCTGTTATTTAAAAGAAAAGCTTTGGGCTTACTATTCAAACATTTCTTGTGTTTTCTTTTGTATCACTAATTGTGTCCATGGTGTCCATGTTCTTCAAGAAGAGGTGCTGTATTGATCATATATCTTCTGACTCTCTTTCTGAATGTCATAGGAAGACTTGCAGCACATGAAGTCTTAATCAACCTTTTCCCTTGAACCACTGCTTACCTTGGGTTGGTGTTGTTCACATTCTTCATTCCTGAAGGGAAATGAAGTTTACTTTTGTTGAATTGTATCAATAAAATAAAAGCAAAACTTTCTTTCGTAAGTCATGTATACATACTTTCTTTAAAGAAGAAGAAAACATCGATTCAATTAATCATAAAGCTAATTTGGTGTGAAAAAAAGCCTGTATCGCCTTTCCTGCATTAATTTGTGTGGCTGCTCATTGTTTGTCAGAAACTTTTTTAATGGTGCCACTGACTGTCTTGGCCAGGACTTTTGGAAAGAGCTATTTAATATCAACAAGTGTTTTTTTGGTTAAACAATAAATATATATATACACACACGCACACGCACGCCTTTTCCCCATGAAGTTGGTTGGTTGCGCATGCCAATAATTACAGTATGGCCATTAAACAAATAAGGTAGATATGGAAAAATCATTGAGGAAATAAGCTACATTTCCCTATTTATAACAGCACAGACTAAACATTTTGTTAACTGTGCTTTATTCGGCATATTGTTTTAGACTTAGAGTATTCACAAACGGCTACCCTTCAGTTCTGTGCACAAACAAACACCACTCCATCTTAATACACACAGCTCGTCCCGCCTTGTCTCTGTACCTGTGTGTGTGTGTGTGTGTGTGTGTGTGTGTGTGTGTGTGTGTGTGTGTGTGTGTGTGTGTGTGTGTGTGTGTGTGTGTGTGTGTGTGTGTGTGTGTGTGTGTGTGTGTGTGTGTGTGTGTGATCTATTGCAGCAGAAACAACACAACTCGTGAAATGTTTCTTGCGGTTCCGTTGCGGAGTCTAGTTAATGATGTTTAGGGTATCGAAACAATCCAAACAGTATAGGATGCAGACTATGTTACAGACACTATACTGGGTGGGCTGGCAACACATCATCCTGTATGAGGGAAGTGCAGAGAAAAGTTAGATTGTCCACTAGTTTATTGATCACAGACGGCTATCTTATCCGGATAAAGGAAATAAAAGATGCTTAAATGGTTGGCAACTATACCAGGGCTGACCATTTATAGTCTGTTCAGTAAACACTGAATTAATAAACATTTGCCTCCGCTATTCACCGTACACCTGCCCCAAATGCACGTGTGTATTTACTGATGCGTTGAGGAGAGGTAGAGAAAGGGGGCTAGTGCGCAAGTGATCCAGACGTGACTCATTCTGATGCGGTGTCTCAAACCAGCCTGTCCTGTACTCAACCATACAATCATTCACTTTATGACTTGAGAATTCACTGTAATCATTGTAAATTCGAGCAGGATTCTCCACACATTGATAATAATAATAATACAAAGAAGAAATAAACTGACAACACATTGAGCCTTCAAACATATAAGCCTTCTCAAACAGTTTAGTTTCAATATTGGGGAATTGATGGAAGAGTAAATTAATGAAGTCAAGCAAAACAAATTGATATAAACTGGCAATATGAGATAAATAACTACATTGACAGCATAGATTGATTCTGCATCAATTCCCCATATGATGAGAGGTCAGTGAACACAACACATGGCATAAATATTGTACAACTTCTTTTCCTTACATGGTAGTTACTCCTTTGTTGTCTTACTATTTCAAACAGTTCATGCATTCACAATGGCCATATCCATACAGTCACTGATCACCAGGAGTAAATCTTTCCTCCAATGTTCTACACACACACACACACACACACACACACACACACACACACACACACACACACACACACACACACACACACACACACACACACACACACACACACACACACACACACACACACACACACACACACACACACACACACACACACACACACACACACACACACACACACTATGACCACTTTACTTTTAACTAAAGAGGGGGGTGCACCGGTCCTGGAAGTGTTGCAATACCAGGTCGATGCGTGGAGCGGACAGAGCAAGCCCCTATTCCATCTCCCAGTTCCAAAAATCAATTTGATATACGGTCCCCGGGTAATAAAACACCATTTTTAATAAGCTTCACGTGAAAAAAAAGAGTAAATACCAAATCAAAGTCGGATTAACTGATACTTTAGCATTAACTGCTAACAAATGGTATATCTATATTTTTCTCACAGCAAATAACACTGAAAAAAAGAATAGAAAAATGATGTAGTGAAACCACATATACAGCCTTTATCTGGATTTTAAATAACAGCAGAGGAAACAATGTTTACTGTGACAGTAAAAGTCTCATTTCCATAAATCAGAAACATCTTTGAGTAAGTATTTTTAATCGTTCTTAAAACAGAGAAATGCATAAATGGTGCCACTCGCTGTTTCCTCAAGCGACTACTATAGATTCGTCACAGAATCACTAATGGAGAATAAAAATTTGTTTTGAATTTCAACAGGTAGAGGGGGTGCACCGTTCCTGGAGGTACTGCAATACCAGGTCGATGCGTGGAGTGGACGGAGCAAGCCCCTATTCCATCTCCCAGTTCCAAAAATCAATTTAATATATGGTCCCCGGGTAGGGGACGTATCAGATATTAAACTGATAAGAACAGATACTACACTTGATCTTAGCCAAAAGGCCGAGAAGCGATGCCACAAATTCGGCGAAGTCAGAGAGTCATTCCCCGCGCTGTACCTTTCACTCACGGTTGCATATTTTATCACCTTCAAAAGAAAGGCAACAACATGTAAACGTGTAGTCTGGTGTTTAACGACCGATCGGATCATCGGATCGCACATTATATTTACAAAACGTTATATTGGTGAACTCGTCTCGATGTTATTTCTGGTCACGTGGTAAGCTATTGACCAATAAGCGATCAACAACCTCGTGTAACGAAAACATGCAATTGCAACTTGAATAATTGATTAATGTTTGTTTATTCGGTTTAAGCGTATAATATAGGTCTGTATGGCTTAATCTACTGGATCTCGGGTGTGAATGACAACAAGAATGATTATTAAGTTACTTAACTCAACAAGTTAAGAACAAACATAAATTAATCTCTGGCTCCCTCTTGTGACGGAAACTGTACAGTCAATTCATACACTCTTTTTTACCATAAAGGCATGTGAATACATGTACAAACACAAATAAGTATCTGTATAAATAGAATTAATAAACAAATTAAAGTATCGACGACAAAGAGTCGATGCATCTTATTGAACTATAACTGCCGGTAAAAGTTAAATCGGACCCCTGCAACAGCACTATTTCTGCTTCCGGAATTTCGTTTTCAAAATAAAAGGTAGAAGTCAGGTTTGAGTAGTAAATGGTTTCACGCAGGGTTTTAAATTTTCTGTTGAATCTTATTACTGAAATATTGCCAGAGTGCACACGTAATGTGTAATTTTGATGAACTCGAATTTCAAATCGGATGCAGCAAAGATTAAAAAAAAAAAAAAAGACTATAAATATATAAGTTGATATAGAGTGATATAACTTGAGTCGGGTTATAGAAATTGGGATAAAAAAAAAAATCATACATACAAATTGAAGTTTTTTCTTTCTTTCAAATTAACGTCAACTTCAGCTGTTACGTGACATTTGAACTGTTATTACAGGTGGGCATTTCTATTACGTTTAATGATTTGGTAAGCTCGTAACATATGATACTAACACTAAAGCAGAGCTAATTTAGCAGCGACATATATATCTCGCAAAATGACGTTTCAACTCTTTTTCTACTACAACTTGTAGTGCACACACCTGTAGCTGTTAAATCCTCGACATTTTAGCTTTGCAGTAAACTAGCAAAGTTTTACAAACCCTCCATGCAGCAAAAGTGTTGACAACAAGTAAACGACAGAAAGTCGCCAGATAAATTAGACTTCAAGCCAAACGATTTAGACCAATAATTAAAGACAAAAAACTCGTTAAAAGTGGTTTATGAAAGTTTAAGATTACCTGAAATTGTCCTCCGGGCCTGACCGCCTTTTCTGGCGAAAACTTGCAAATTATTCCCTTACAGGTAAATAACATGTTCTACACCTGAGCAGGTGTGGGGGAGGGGCGGTATCAGGGTGTTGGTTATTTTGTTAAAAAAAAAAAAAAACCTGCAGGGTTTTAGTTTGACGGTTATTTTACTAGCAATTCACGTTAACTTTAGTCAAAATATCATCAGTTATCAAGATAATGTGAACATTTCAAGGCGAATTTCAGGATTTTTATTCTTCTACATAAAAAAGCCAATTAATAATTTTAAATGGCAAAAGTAGCTATTTTAATGTATGGAATACACTGGGTTTAATTAAGGACATTTGAGCAGTCTAAGCATTTACAGTCCAACTAAATATAATTTTACACAGTTAATTTTTACAAAAAGTAACTGTGTATTTTAGCTTATTTATTACAAATAGTGGTTTTACAAGTTTTATCTTGTTGTATTTGGTGAACAGTTGCTCACCACACGTAAACTGACTTGGGGCGAAGAAACTTTGAGTGTGTCGTGTCTTTTTTATTTCGTTGTCTGACAAAAAAACATTTTTTGGTCAGATATCGAGTCCTGTAGAAATGTAGGAAACCTTATTCTGAAACACCACAACCGGAAGTCCAATTCAACTCAGTCGAAAGCGTTAGCCATGGACGAGGGTCAGACAGAAGAGGAGGTATGTTTTGTTTCTGAAAATTAATTGCAGTTTCTCTTTCGTCTATGAACAACAGGCAGATATTACTACTTACACTCTATTAATAAAGTATTTTTCAAGATTTAAATCGTTTTGGTTAGAGTGTAGGTAAGTGCTTAGCTTTGTTGGCTTGCTCGCTCAAACTGAAAGGATTGTTTTCTTTTCGACAGACAGCATTCGTCGTTGAAGAAGTGAGCAAAATTATTAAAGAGGTGAGCAAAAAGACAGTCTTGACGGCCGTCGTGTTTGTCTGGAAAATGTAGATTTTTTGGGGGGAGCTAGTTTGAAGCTTTGTTTTAAGCGATCTTTCGGTTGCTAGGGACACTTCCACGGTTGCTATGGACTCCCATATCACATACACACACACGGCAAAACTATTTTCTTAAAAACATGATGAACTTATTTGAGTAGTAGTACAAGTTTAGAAAAGTAAGATGACTCCTTGTTTTGAATTGAACATAGTTTATATTCTGTATATTCTCTGTGTAGTCAGTAGAATCAGCCATAGGAGGAAACGCCTATCAGCACAGTAGAGTGAACCAGTGGACCACCAGTGTTGTGGAGCAGTGCCTCAGTCACCTCAGCAAGCTGGGGAAACCATTCAAATATATAGGTACAGCATGTCCCGCCCTGGCTCAGTAATATTTGTTTGACTCTTTGACTCTGTAGTTTGTATTAATAATGAATAATTCCCACAGTAACCTGTATCATCATGCAGAAAAATGGAGCAGGTCTGCAAACAGCAAGTACATGCTTCTGGGACAACTCTACTGATGGTAAATTAACCCTCTGTTTTTCCATTTGTAACCTATGTATGTAGCCGTTGTTTGATCTAGGGTGTTCTGAGTTTTTTCTTTAGAAAACTCCACACAAAAAAAGGGTAAAAGTCTTGTATGTTGATTAACAGAGGAAATGCCCATAGCTGTAAGATACATTTGATAGTTAGTTTTATCTCTTTGGTTGGACACTACCAGTTTTTTATAAAACATCTTTCAGACACAAGTAGCATTTTGTCAGATCAAAATATAAAATGAATACTTTCACTAATTATATTTAATACCCCACAGGAAGTTGTGCTGTGAGATGGGAGAATAAATCCATGTATTGCATCGTCAGTGTTTTCGGGCTGGCCATTTGAACCACCTACAATGTACTTCAGTTTGAATTATGTAGGATTTTGTGTTTTTTTTTTGAGGACTAGCGTGTGTTATGTTAAGTTGCATTTCATTTGTTTGTATTTTATATAAAGCAAAATGTATTAAAACATAACAATACTGTGTAAACTTTGCTTTATTAAGCTACAATGTACAGCTTTGATGTCATGAAGCAAATGGTAATTGCAAACTTTTAACACATCCCGACCAACAACAATCTCATTTAACCACCTCCAGTGATCATCACTTACATTCACACAGACTCACTTGAAAATGTACATTTATGTCAAAGCATTTACACACTGGAGACTGCTGCTTATTCCAAATAAAGAAAAGTGGTAAAGACAAGGCACCATCTTGATAAGTGTACATGTTGAGATATCTGTAAATAATAGAAGAACATTTGTTTTGGCTTTGAGGGCAGCAAGTCTCACATTGTTGGCATTATTAAGTAATACAGCTGAAAAACATGATTACATAAAGTTATATATCTTACATAAGGCAAAACATGTTTTGCAAATGATACAACTAAACATGCTGGAATAAGAAATGTTTCACAAGATTGAGTCTATTTACATAAAGCTGTGTAAAATTCACACACGTCTTCATCCATCCTGGCAGTCATATAATAGTGTACCAAATGTTATCACTTTTTTTGGCAAAATTACAATTATTAAGCAAGTGCAATTACAAAGCTGCTTCAGAAAGAAGAGGATTGTTAATAGATCAGTGGCAAGAACTCAAATAATGGTTCTCTGTATTATCATGAATGTTTCAAAACTTGACATGTCTTAGCCAGTAATGCTTTGGCACTTGGATTTCCTGTTCATCACTCATGTCAGAGATGAGGATTCACAATGCACCATTAAAAGTGCAGTGCAGCAGAGTATTTCCTTACTTCTACCTCAAGCATAATGTCAAGAGGCTTTGGCAAGATACAACAGTTTCATTCATCACAGACAATCAGAGAGCAGAAAGACAGGCAGAACAACCCAGTGCAAAATAGAGGACAACAGTGGTTCAACACAAAGCATTAAAAATAACATTGATT